GAAACGAAAAGTGTCAGCCTTCGGCCCACAACAGCAACGCAACTACTCTACTCCTTTTCACCACTTTACAAGTGCCTCAAGGAGTGGGGGACTGGAGGACCCCCTCGGGAAAATCATTAAATTACAAAATTAGTGAAGTTCCAACAAACGGCAAAGCAAGCCCTCAAGTCCCGACATGTGGGTAACTGAGGGACTGCCTTCGGCAGGGGCGTGAAAGCAACAACTCCTCACCTACTTCAGAGGTTACGACAGGACAACATCAAAGGGCAAGCACAAACTACTCCTTTTCCCTCAAGTACCTTTCGGCAAAAGGAGTGAGGGACTCCTGATGGAGTATATGGCCCGGGAACCCCCGGCCCACAGACTCCTACTACTCCAGCAAAGGCCCAACAGGCCCAAATCACAGCGCCCAAAGTACCAAGCAGCCCTCACTACGCGCCAGGGGTGCCTTCGGCCCCCTGGCCGAAGGCTCTAAATTCTCACAGAACGAGTTTCTCAAGCAAACTAAGAAACGGGGAGAAAACGGCAAAAACAGCAGCCCTCGGCACCTGGAGCCCTCGGCACTCAGGGGTCCTCGACACTAAGAGCCCTCGGCTACTGCTCTATAGCCGAAGGCACCTCTCTCGACATGATATCCGCCTCACATGCGTACAGATCACCGTACCCTGTACAGACGTCCCATCCAACAGCCGCATTAAATGCGGCCACATGTGTTTGCCAGCGCCAACCGGATGAGGTGACCTCTCGGCCAACGGATGCTTGACACGTGTCCCTGTCCGGCATTTATTGCTACTATAAATAGCCCCCCATTTCCCCATTTGTAACCACGACATTCATACTGAATACACTCTCTCTCTTTTACTTACTTGTGCTCTGACTTCTCTCTAAGTTATTCTCAGCAATAACCCTTCGGATATATACCCCCGGGTAGACTATCCATCAGGAATGCATGATCTTTTCATAAACAACATGTTGTTCATTTGTTAGACCTTGAAGCAATGTATTATGTTCTTGATGCATCGCTTGACGTTCATATTGGAGCTCCTCTTCAACAAATCTATTACTGGAAAGTAAAGTTGAGTTTGACTTTGCATATGGCATTGGAGGAATAACACGTACACTTTTCCCTCGTCGTTGCAATAACATCTCCACCTCTGTTAATGCTGCCATTTGCAATTAGTCATTGTCCATTACAAACCCTACATTGCATGAAATATTGGAATGTGATTTCAACCACTAATCAAATCAATGCAGAGAACAAAGTAGCACATATTAATGATATATATTAAAATATCAGTACTAATATACCTGGATGTTGATATTTCTTACGTAATTTGTATTGAATATTTTCTACCGTGTATATCCAACACTTCTCCCAAACAAATTCTGGCCGACTCATGGATTCCGACCACAACAATATGACGAAGAGTATCCTTGGTGCAAATGATGTTGCAAAATCACTTGCCTCAGTAAAACTGTCAACAAATTCTTTATCATCCTCTAAAAGCCCCAAAGCGTAACAAGTTTCACGATATGAATTATATGACACACCACTTACAGTCCTCAAATCTTCATGACACGTAACTCCCTTAATATGGTTCAATAAACACCTCATATAATATGACTCCCCACATCTTGGCGGAACATAGTATATCCGACCAATAGAAAATGCTTGCTTTCTTGGCACCCATTCTCTTGTACCACTTTTCCATACAAACTTGTGAGGAAATTCAGCATATGTCATTTGTCTCGCCATCTCGTATTTTTTGTTGGCTTCCATCCACCCCAAAAACATGCTATCTTTAACACTCCTCCCAGCTACTACAGAATCTAGAGGCTCATTATCGAAGAAGATCACTATTTGCTCTCCTTTCAAGTGAAATCTAAGGCGTTCAACTGGTGGATTTTTATATTGAATCTCAAATCCAAATATATGCCATGCAGCCTCACACGGAGATATGTACCTACAGTCGTAATACATTTTGATTTCATCCACATGTTTTCTCCCTTCATCTGAACTTGCACTATTTAAAAAACCTGTAGTGACATGATCACGTCCTTTATTGATGTACTTAAATAAGTACTTGATGGACCGGGATTGGTTGCACCACTCCACATTGATATGACCGCCATATTTCATCAACAAAAAATGATTGTGCGGAACTACAAATCTATTATCAAGGGGAATATTATTTTTCTCAATTTCTACCATCGTCTCTTCGTCTATAAATTGGATATCCAACATTGTCAATGGACGTAATATTGCACCAACTCTTCAGGAAATGCTTCGTACACTTCCTATCAACCATACATAGAGCAGACTTAACATATGGACCACATGGCCCGTGCATCATAAAATCACGAACTGCGTTGTAATATCACGGGTACTTATCTTTATCGCGAATTTGAGCTGAGATGACCTTATCAATGTCTGATGGAGTTGGCAATTTATCTTCACTTGCTAGCCACAATAGTATATGTGCATGAGGCAATCCTCTCTTCTGAAATTCCACTGTGTAAACCACTGCAAAAGGCAATTTTAAAAATCACTATGACATTTAATAGTCGTAATAATCGATGTGTGTTCAATTTGAAATGTACCTGCTTTAACACTACCAAACACTTTGTTACGTCGTAAGTCTTTCATAAGACCATCCAATTTTATCTTAAATACTCGACTTATGATGATATCTGAGCGATCTTCAGACTTGAGATTCCTATCACTCAAAAAACATTCAATCTCAGGGCACTTTGGGTGGCATGTCAGCGTGATAAATAAATCTAGATACCCCGTGTCACGCTCCAGACCTATCCGGACACGTCAACAATCCACCGTACAATATGAATAGTCAACCGCAGTCCAACTCATCCATATTATACAAGGCGTCTCGAATATCATTCACACATAAGTCATCCATAAACATACATAGTAATTGAATACGCAGCGGAAATTATAGTTTGGATACAAGTGCCACACGGGGCAAACACAAGCACGCAGGCTCCATAATGAAAAACAATATCCATGAGCATGTTTTAAAATGTTTAAAATCAGAATGGAGGAAGCACGGACCAAGTCTTCCCCTCTGAGATGATCGCCCGATCAACAAGCACAGGTAGCAAGCTCTAGCCTCAACCTGAAATGGTGGTGGGACGCCCCACCGAAACGGGGTCAGTACTCTATACGACTATAAAGTACTGGTGTGGATGACATCTAATAGATATACAACAAGTATTTCAAACACAAGACCCTCAAATAGGGTGATAATATAATTCTAGGTCGTAACCCCAAGTTACCCCTTTTTAAAATATTCTTACTTTATATATAAAGTCAAGTAGTCGGCCCATGGCCCAAAGTTCGTTTTCAAAACATAAACCAAACCCCGTGACCCCTAGTCACGACAATACATAGGGTTCAACCCTAACACACATGTTTGCATTTCTCGAGTACAACTCGACTACATCACCATGCATATCAATCACAAGTCAATTACTCCACCAATCTCCAACGTCATGTTCACCCATGCAATTCTAGAGCTCGGCTCAAGTACATCTCCTTACATGGGCTGAACCTAATCCTTATGTCTACCCAATGCAATTCTAGAGCATCGGGCTCAAGTACATCTCCTTGCATTGGCATAGACCCCAATTCCTAAGCACTCGCTATGCCTAGAATTGTAATATCAATAATCTATTTCGGGACATCCTTACGGACTGCCTTATCATGATCTTAGCATCACATTACAACAATTTACTCACTTGAACCACAATCAAGTATATCACTTAAAATCAAATCCTTAGATTCAATTTCTTAACAATTACAAACAATCATTAACTAGTATTCCAATACTATTAAGATTATTCCCATCAATCATATGTTTCATTTGTAAATCCCTACATATTTAGAAATATGTAGCAGCAACCTAGTCATCCAATGTAATACACAAATAATCATTTATGTATCTACACAATTCACACATGAGTAAAAATGTCTATTTCACACAATAGTTCATTTAACTCCATTTTTATCAATATGATTTCCAAATCATTTGTAATTTCATTACTTATCTAATATATCAATATTTCATCAATAATCAGTCATTATAATCCATGAAAAACATGATTTAGGCATTTAGGTAATCTCATGCTTAACCTACGAGTTGTAAGCAACTAGATGTCGATCCTCACCTCAAATGAGCTTTAAACCTTCCTTTTTAATCCAATGCTCAAAGCTTCGGCCAAGGAAGTTTGAGAACTTATTCCTTGCTTAGAATTGATGTTTAGACAGCCTCCTCAAGGTGCTAGTTCAACACTTATCCAATGATACAAAAATAGCCCCTAGAATGGGTGTTTTCCGGCGAAAACGTTTCCTAACCTTTCAAGGTTTGTTCTAGGTTAGTATTAACCTTTCCGAAAAATAAAATAACTCTATAATAAAATTTTATACACTTAAACCAGTGTATAATAGTTCTTCAATCATTCATAGGATTTAGGCAATGGAAAGGGAGGTTTTGGATTCAAACTTACTTTGAATACCACAAACGTATTCAGCGAGGTTTCGTTGTGTTCGGACGATTTAGAGGCCTTAAACTGCTCCGTTTACTTCACACCGCACGCCTATGTGTTCCTCTTCTCGAGAGATTTCAGGGGGCACCTCGCACGCTTTAATTGGATGAGTGAAACTCGAGATATGAGTCTGACAAGAAGGCCTACGCACCTGGAAAATATCCTGCGGCCAGCTCTCCTATCTCCCTCTAGAATGGTTTGTGCGGCTCTTCCTTCTTCCTTATCCCTTTTATTTCGAATGGGGTTGAGGTAGAGGTGTTTAGGACCTCTCAAAAGGTTATCCTAACATTTTTTTCACAAAAATAATGGGTAGAGTGTTTGATTCCAATCAAACATGGGATGGTCCCCCTCTTTTATTTCTTTTTGTATTGTTTGAGCTCTCAACTCCATAGGTTCGCCCCATTTATGTGCTCTGACTTATTCTACCTGTTTTGCAGGTGCTAGGAAGGTGTGGAGCGTACTCTCATGTCCCCTAATTAATTTGGGAGCAAAATATCTACCAATACATCCAAGAGTGGAAAGATGGGTCCTATCATTTTTGTCCTTTGTCATAAGATGTACTTTTGTACTCTCCCCAATTTATTCAGATCAAGTCCACCTCATACTTCATATTATTGGTCTCTAATATGTTTAGGATGGTCCCAATAATTTATTTGATGTACAATTACAAAAGAAAACCCTACTCCCATTATTTAGCCTAATAATGCCAAAGATGGGACCATAGGCATTTGTATTCTTCTCCAATCATTCCATCATTCATTTATGATGTTAATATGTGTGTATATATATACACATATATATATATGTGTGTGTATATATATATATACATATATATATATATATATATATATATATATATATATATATATATATATATATACACACACACATATATATATATATATACACACACATATATATATATATATATATATATATATATATATATATATATATATATATATATATATATATATATATATATATATATATATATATATATATATATATATATATATATATATATATATATATGGGCTACCAACCGTGTGGGTCACCCTCCAATGGGTCTAGGATGCCATTCTAGAATAATTACTATTTTTAGCAGGTTAGGCCCAAAATAACATTTGGGCTGCCCGACCGCTCTTACATTGTACCGATGGGCTGTATATCTTTATTTAAGGATGTTGGGCCCCAATATCAATGATATGGCCCAATTAAATATTTAGAAGCCCGTTACCATTGTATGAGTCCAAATAGTATGAGTCCAAATAATAATATTTAATCGTTTTACAATTGTTCCAAAATAAGAGAATTCAATACATAAGCTTTGAAATTAAATTTGAATTTCTAGGACGTTCGGGTGTGGTGTCACAAGTTCACCCCCCCCCCCCCCCCTTAACAGGAATTTCATCCCCGAAATTCACGGTGCTACTCAAATAGGAAGGCGTATTGCTCCCTCATCAAAGCTTCCGTTTCCCAAGTCTCCTCTTCAACACGGTCACTTTTCCAAAGGACTTTAACCATTGGAACTTCCTTGCTCCTCAATTTCTTTACCCTTCTGTCGGTGATCTTGACCGGTTGTACGTCGTAGTTCAAGTCCTCTCGTATTTCCACCGGCGGCTTTTCCAATACATGAGAAGGATCATGTACATACTTCGTATGGAGGATGCCATTCTAGAATAATTACTATTTTTAGCAGGTTAGGCCCAAAATAACATTTGGGCTGCCCGACCGCTCTTACATTGTACCGATGGGCTGTATATCTTTATTTAAGGATGTTGGGCCCCAATATCAATGATATGGCCCAATTAAATATTTAGAAGCCCGTTACCATTGTATGAGTCCAAATAGTATGAGTCCAAATAATAATATTTAATCGTTTTACAATTGTTCCAAAATAAGAGAATTCAATACATAAGCTTTGAAATTAAATTTGAATTTCTAGGACGTTCGGGTGTGGTGTCACAAGTTCACCCCCCCCCCCCCCCCCCCCCTTAACAGGAATTTCGTCCCCGAAATTCACGGTGCTACTCAAATAGGAAGGCGTATTGCTCCCTCATCAAAGCTTCCGTTTCCCAAGTCTCCTCTTCAACACGGTCACTTTTCCAAAGGACTTTAACCATTGGAACTTCCTTGCTCCTCAATTTCTTTACCCTTCTGTCGGTGATCTTGACCGGTTGTACGTCGTAGTTCAAGTCCTCTCGTATTTCCACCGGCGGCTTTTCCAATACATGAGAAGGATCATGTACATACTTCTTCAACATAGATACATGAAACACATTGTGTATCTTCTCTAACTCTGGAGTCAACTGTAGACGATATGCTACGGTCCCAATTCTCTCCAGAATTCTGAACGGCCTGATGTAGCGTGGATTAAGCTTCCCTCGGCTTTGGAATCGAATGATTCCTTTCCAAGGAGAAACCTTCAGGAATACCTCGTCGTCAACCTTAAACTCTAAGGTTCTCCGTCGCTTATCTGCATAACTCTTATGTCTATCCTGAGCTGTCTTGAGTCTCTCTCGAATCAACTTCACCTTTGACTTGGTGATCTCAACCAACTCAGTACCCTCGAGTTTGGCCATGCCAACCTCATCCCAGCATAACGGTGTATGAAACCTCCTCCCATACAATGCTTCGTATGGAGACATGCCGATACTTGCCTGACAACTGTTGTTATAGGCAAACTCCACAAGTGCTAAGTGATTGTCCTAACTGCCTCGGAACTCCAATGCACAAGCCCTCAACATATCTTCTAAGATCTGAATAACTCTCTCAGACTGCCCATCCGTCTGTGGATGGAACGTAGTACTGAACTTCAACCTTGTTCCCATAGACTCTTGAAATTTTGGCCAAAAACGTGACGTGAATCGTGGGTCTCTATCGGATACGATGGTCACCGGAACACCATGTAACCTCACGATCTCATCCGTATACAATTTGGCTAACCTCTCAAATGGATAAGTGGTGTTGATAGGTAAAAAATGTGCACTCTTAGTGAGCCTATCAACAACAACCCAAACTGCATCATAGTTCTTGCTCGTCCGTGGTAAACCTACCACGAAATCCATAGTCACATGTTCCCACTTCCATTCAGGGATGGAAAGTGGCTGCAATAAGCCCGCTGGATGCTGATGTTCCGCCTTAACTTGCTGACAAGTAAGGCATCGACTGATGTATTCTGCTATCTCCCTCATCATACCAGACCACTAGTAGCTTTCTTTCAGATCCCTGTACATCTTCGTGCCTCCCGGGTGCATAGCATACGCCGAGGAATGAGCCTCCTCTAGAATGGACTTTCGGAGCTCATAATTCGACGGTACGCACACTCGATCACGGAATAACAAGAGACCATCGTCTCTTTCACGAAAATCCTCTACCGGTCCTGCTAGCATGCGTTCTCAGACCTTCTTGAGCTCATCATCAAGCTCCTGACCCCTCTTGATCTCATCAAGTAAGGTAGGTCTCACCTCAAATCTCGCCACCAATGCGCCATTAGTTGATACTTCCAATTGGGCTCTCAATGCCCTCAAATTGGTTATCAATGCCCCCGATGAACTCTTCCGACTAAGGGCATCGGCCACAACATTTGCTTTCCCTGGATGGTAATCAATCACTAGGTGGTAGTCCTTTATGAATTCCATCCACCGTCGTTGTCTCATGTTTAGCTCTTTCTGAGTAAACACATACTTCAAACTCTTGTGGTCAGTGTATATATGACATGTCTCTCCGTAGAGATAATGCCTCCATACCTTTAGTGCAAAGACCACTGCTCCCAATTCTAAGTCATGAGTAGGATAATTCACCTCATGCTTCTTCAACTGTCGTGAAGCGTAGGCAATCACCCTCCCATTCTGCATCAATACACATCCAAGCCCTTGGATGCTCGCATCGCTGTAGACATCGTACCCCATACCTTGTTTCGGTAAGACGAGTACCAGTGCCTCAGTTAACCTTTTCTTCAGTTCTAAGAATCCTTTCTCACATCGGTCATCCCACACAAACTTTGCTCCTTTTCGAGTGAGCTTCGTCAATGGTGATGCCAAAACATAAGCCTAGCGAATGTTTTAAGTTTTAATGGAAGAAGATGAATGTAAATAGCATGTGTTGTGTGATGTGGTATGTTTTATATACTATGATTCATATCTGCTGTGGGCATTTTTGCAAACTGGCATTTATGTAACTCATTTTACTAACTTCTAATCAGGTGACCTTAACAAATACTCCCAACAGAAATGGTTACTTTTGTACTTACTCTTGTTCTTTTGTAGGTGGTCAAATTTGAGACTTACAAAAATGAAATCAATCAAGGATACTCATTGTTTGGCAAACAATATTGATCTTTAACCCGACTATATATTATTATTACCGCTACTCTTTAATTGGCTAACTATATTGATATTTTACTATACTTCATAGTATTACTGTTGTCCCAAAAAAAATTGCCATCCTGAAAAAACATGTAGAGTCTTGAAAACTGCAAACCATGCCTTTGAATTGTAAAGTCAAAGTTTTTTCTATCTTATACACAGCTAATGAGAGGTTACATTGTCCTATAGTATATTGAGATGTTACTCCTAAATATCTCTATTATACTATTACACAGCTAATGACGCTAATATCTATTCAATTGTAACTCGTATGTCGCCGTGGTAGACATACCAAGCATCAATATTAAAAAAAGTTTCATTCATATTATAAACTTAAGTGTCATATTTTTACAAAAAACATTTATCAAATTATATTTTCATTTCCTTAAGCTATTAAATACTCTATTTACCTATTAAGTTCATTTCAGAACTTAAATCCTGCATCCATCTATCAAAGTCAAATTGAAGAAAAGGAATTTAAATACCATGTTTTATGTGCTACTGGAATTTCTATATTCTATTACTCTTATTTTGTTTGAAGATTTTTTGCTAATCTGGTTTCTATATGATCTATTCCAATACAATTTTTTTAATCAATTTTATCAACCTGAGTCATTTCCAATGATATATTCTAAGAAAGTGTAATTGAAATTGCTCAAATAGATTACTGGTTTCAAATCAACATCTATATAATAATGTTTTCATTTTCCTAAGCTCTAAAAGAGCTCACTACCTCAAAGTTTTTTTTAAAACATAAGCATATGTTTGAATGGAAGAAGATGATATTTTATTATTACCGCTACTATTTTATTTGGCTAACTATATTAATCTTTTACCCTACTCTATATTAATGGATTGTCCCAAAAAAATTTGCCATCTCCAAAACTGTAAACCATGATTTTAACTTCTTTTAGATTATGCAAGTTAGATCAAGTATGCTTTTGGTACTCTAGCCAACATTATATTTTTAATTGTAAAGTCAAAGTATTTTCTATCAAAAATCTATACATTATCATAAAGTACATTGAGATGATAAACCTAACTATCTCAATTATACTATTACACACCTAATGTCGCTAATATATGTTCACTTGAATCTCATATGTTGACATGGTAGAGAAACCAAGTGTAACACCCCCAAATTTATACCCGAAATTGGTGCTAATTATAGCAGGTGTAGAAAGAATTTCCCAAAATATTTAATTCAAAAGAGTTTAAATTGCAGCGGAAGCATAATATTCAATGGGTGTTACCCCCACACTCGGTTCTCACATAACCGAATGCACATGCTAAACCACCATCCAAAAATAATTCAAGTATTTAAGTACTGAAAATTTCAAAAATAATTTAAATGTCTACATGTTCTCAAACTGA